AGTCCGACGTTTTCTCCGAGCAAGTCGATTTTGACTTTTACAGTTCAATTGCTTCACGTAGAAATTTACCAGCCATTATTTCGAAATAATTGTTCTATGGAAATAAGGTTTTTAAAAGTTAAACTGACTGAATGGTATTCAACGTAGCGCTACCGTCTTACGCTTTTGAGAGCAAAATTAAAGTTAATGATAACGCGGACAGTGAGTAGTTGAAGCAGTTTGACAAACGGTTTTCCATTGCCAATAATCATAATTATTTATGCAGTCTGATTCGAGTTCTCTCAATGGGTTTTGTGCGTCAGTCAGAGCCGGTAGTCTTTTATTTATTGTTATTGTGATTATTATGCGATCGTTCCGTTTTTCTACGGTCATTACAATATAATCGTTTCCCTGTGGATAATTTGCAGGTTTGACTGTTTTTATTTTCGATATTACATGGCAAATTGCGCGAAACCGCCAAAACTGGTAAGGCACCTCGACCGCCGTACAGTACAACGTGCAAATCGATTGTGATTTGGTCACGAATCGACGGGGAGGCGCATCATTGTCTTTCGGGCAATTATTGCTCAGGTTTAGTAGTCGGTGTTGACACTGTAACACCGAGAAACAGGTGAGAGAACGGAAGGGAAAAAAAAAGAAAATTACTCACCGTGGTAAACGGAATAAGAAGAAGAGAGGTACTCGATAACATTAAATGTGGAGCAAACTGCTGTAATGACTCCGTTTGACTTTCTCGTTATAATTCGCCTACTTTCACTACAATATGTTCCATTCTGTTCCAATTTGACAATATCTATAAATGCCTCCTATGTTTTTATTTATCTTATATGTACTACCGTTTCCATCTAATGTCATACCTTTCAAGTTATGNATGTACTACCGTTTCCATCTAATGTCATACGTTTCAAGTTATGGGTACTTAACATTGGGAGTTATCAATACATTTGTATATAAATTACCTATTTTACATTGACATTAAATTTATTGAAGGTTCTCTAACGATTTAAAAATACCAATAAACATTAGTGAAAATTCTTAAAATACATTTTTTAATTAATTAGCCCATACGCTTCGAATTCAAATGAATGCTTAATCAAGTCGAGGAATCCCGACTTGTCGTCAGCATTAGTTTTGAAATTGTTATGTGTATTCATCTCGAAAAGATATCAGTTCGCTTATGACTTGCTCTTCAATTTAATTATTATGATAACCTAATCAGCTTTTAATATCATTAAATTTCTCGTTATTTATGTATTACTCGAGTTTCATTCCTAGTCTAGCTGGCATTTAATCGCTAAATGCAATTGAAGTCAATCTCTCATTTAATGTGCTGTAAAAATCATTTATTAATATAGTTCACGTTATGGCTTTATACGTCTCGTTGATTTTCAATTTATTTATCTTTATTATATCAAATTGCCCTTACAATGACATACTACTCTAGACAGTTAAATGCGCTTTTTATAGTGCGCTATCATATTATTTCATCTAAAACACACACGGTATTCTGAACAGTGTTATTCATCTGATTTTACAGACTCGTATGTTCCTGTACAATTAAGTTATTTTTAAATTAGTATTAGATTTATTTTCTCATTTAGAGAATCTTACCGAATTGGATTATTTCTAATTCATAAAACTGTTGTCTCTAAGCTAAAGTTCAAATATAAGTTTTTGTACTATAAAGATAATCGAAATTGAAAAAAAAAAACAATTTTTACTTAGTTTGCTTGGTATGTCTATTTTTTTTAATAGTTAACGACCTTATTTGTATATTCTGTTATTTTTTAAATATTGAACAAATGTACAACAGTACACACCTACAAGAGTTTGCAATTATTAGTTTCGGGTGCACCAACACACACGCAAAAACGATACCGTTAGTACTGATTTGGTATGTTAAAATAATCGGCCACCCTCGTAAAGGATACTTAAATAGTAAATCTTTACGTTCATAAATAATTCAAATAGCTACGACGATTTCAAAAATGTCATCCGACTTAATATACGTTTTAATACCTATAAAATTCATTGTTTACTTTCAGTCGTGTAATGTTGTATAACATTTTATTGTTGTTGAAAACAATTTAATAGTCATTCGATGTATAGACGAAAAAATCTAGTATGCCTTGTAAGCTTAAAAAATTAATAAATTAAAAGTTTTAATCTGAACAACCGTGTGAGACACACCGCAATGACTTATTTAAGGAAGAACCACTTACTGTCTTCATAGAAAAACTTCAGTACTCGTCCCTCAAAATATTTTTACTTGTCCCCTTTTTCTCTTGAAAAGTAAGATAACAAAAAAATTCTGCTAAAAGATTTATAGTTTATGACTTAATATAAGCTTAAATAAATACTTATTGTAGACAATTAATGAAATCGTAATCGTTTTGATGTATTTAGCTTTATTTTCTATTAATCAATTGTATTTGAACATTTTTTTGTGTTTCAATTTTATTTATTAAAGTGTCGAAAGTAATGAACACTTACAATTGATCAAATAACAAAATGCATTGTAGAACAAAAATAAGTTTAATTACTATAATTTACGATTCATTATTGCTGACGCATTATATATTGCGGCATGAAAAAATGTAACCTTAAATAAAAAATTATTTGTATTTTGAAAAACAAAATAATAATAATTTGAATCGAACAAATTTTACATCATAAAAATATTTTTTCTACGCCAAATTGTTATTAACCAAGAAATTTCAATTATCTAATTAAAAACTGTTTTCATTTCCGTATTGTTATATGGAAACGTATTTTATTATTATTAATTATATTATTAATAATATTCCATATTATTGTAAAACTGCTTTATTATGCTGTTTGTTTTTAATGCTTTGTAACATACCGTTTGTTATTAGCAAGCATAAATTAATGATGTCTTCAGGTTCGATTTTTTCATTTGGGTTAGCTGTAAACCGACGAACGGATCATAATTTTTTATGTGCCTATAATCTCACAGTTGATACTTACCGGATTTCTTTGAGCTGTGCAATCCTGTCAATATAGTCTATCCGTTGCGCATTAAGTTACCATGAAAACTCACGTATCTCGTCGAGTTTTGACAAGTCCTGTTTGTGGTATAATATTGTTGATTTTTTTCTCTACTTTTAATCAAATACAGGGAGAATAGATAAAAGGAATTCTGGAGTAACTGTTATTCACACCAGCAGATCATCCTGACAAATTAAATATAACGGTCTGTCGCTTTTATGTGTGTTAAGATCACACCGGTTAGAACAATTGAAAACCGCACAAGAAAAACCAACAACAATACCTCATGGGCAATAATAGTTATAAAACGTGTTTAAACACCAGTAGCTGTCCGAATTGCCACACACGCACACACACAAGAGATAGATCCCATTGTTTTTTACATATATCGTCACGTATTTTTATTTATTATATTTTTCAATCGCGATGCTCGTGTGTAGAGTAATAATCTATTACATCGAGAAACTGGCGATATGCGTTTCTGGAAGGACGTTATTTGAAAGCAGGTAGCTTAAGGAGAAAGAGTATCATGTATTTTTAATAATGAAATTTTTCAGCAATGGCTAAATTAAACCAAGTAGAAGTACCGTTGGTATTGAACTTTGAAGATTATATTTTTAACTCTCGACGTCGATACTCAAGGGAGATTTAAAAAAAAAATCACAATTTAAAATAACGATTGTCCTTGTATGAAATAAATCGTTAAATTCTGAAGAATATATTTTCAGTCCTGACTTAAATCACGTTCAATAAAAATATTGTAGTTATAAATCCATCTCGAGTTTTGTTTAAACATCAGTAAATTCTAGGAAAATATGGAAAAATTAATTAAAAATAAGTTGAATATCGAGGATAACAATTCGCTGTGATGTTTAAATGTTAAATTTTATTGTTTTTTTATCGTTAATAAATGTTTTTCTCATTATTCGTTGTGCTTTATTGAACTAGACAAATATAGTCAACGTGAATGTGGAATAGGAGGCTTTGTTCTGTGCGTATACAATTTGTAATGAAGAAAACTGTTTGGTATTAATTACACAGTTAAATAAATATACGTATTATATGCGTACGCATATCAACAGAAACAATTGAACCTTTTAACACTGTCATTTCATAATTTATATATGACGTTAATTGAAAAGATATTTCTTTTGTTTAACTATAAAATATTATATAATAAATAACTTACTATGAATTTGATCAAGTTTTAATTTTTTCTCAAACAATATTTGATTAAAAAATAATTTATGAAAATGTTAGGTAGACTACAAATAATATGAAATGAATTTTTTTTCTTTAATATGTTCTATGTATGAAGAATAACACTTTTACGACTCAATTAGTTCTCTTTTGTGTAAAAATAAGACCAATATTGGTATTTTATATTTATTAACGGTAGGACTATTTTATAAAGGCCGAGTCTCTTCTTCCTTTCTCTTTCTTAATTTGAAACTATGTCCCCTAAAATATAATACTCATTTATTTATTTTTTTTTATATAAATTTTTAAAACATAATATATTGTAGTCTATACAAGAAGGTTACATTTTACATAATATGTTGGCCATAAAATATTGTCATTTAAAAATAAAAGTATGTTCAACGCTGCGGACTGATGCACTCGAGTAGTTTTAGGTGGAAGTTTGTGGCATCAGTTGATTATTATATTGAATATATGTACACAGTTAAATGAAATGTTAATTATTCTAATTATCGATCGTCAGTGGCAAAACTATATAGGCTAATTAATCGGAAGTTGTTAGATTGCCTTTTTGTCGCGTAATTTATCTTACTCAATTAGTAATTAGATTCATAAATACATATTGCGCACCACTTTATGATGTTACTCATTTTGGTCTTCTGGACAAATAAAGCCGGAGAATATGTATAATAATTGTTATCGCTCATTACAATTTTTTTTAACTATTTCAAACCAACTGTTTTCACTATGTATATAGTTTTCTCATTTAACCTTCTATTTTATTGTTACAGTGAGAGTTCCTTTACCTCCGGGAAGACCGTGGATACCTTTGTCTAGACCGAACAAAAATATACCATCGTGTGAGTCAGATGTATTATAATAATGATGAAATATATGTAGCTTTTATTTTTTTACTAGATTTAATGCAAACTGCGTATGACGTGCTAACTTAATTAATGGTCATCAACGTTATTCTTATTTACAGGTCCGGTAACGGTGATGTGTTATAACGTGTTGTGCGAAAAGTATGCAACCACTCAAATGTATGGATACTGTCCGTCTTGGGCATTAACCTGGGAGTATAGGAAGAAAGTAATCTTAGGCGAAATAAGACATTATACTGCAGACATTATTACACTTCAGGTAAGATAAACCTTATTACTTCTTTTGGTAACGAAAATTAGAAATTATAATTGCTGTGTCTTTAGGAAGTCGAAACGGATCAATTTTATAACTTCTTTTTACCCGAATTGAAGAAAGACGGTTATGATGGTATATTCTCACCCAAGTCTAGAGCAAAGACCATGTCAGAGAATGACAAGAAACGAGTCGATGGATGCGCAATATTTTTCCGAGCTATAAAGTCAGTACATATAAATCCATTCATTTAGCATTATTAAACCTCTTGTATATTGACAACACATTAAATGCATTTTTATTTTCAAACAAGTTAAAAAGTAGTTTTTATCGAAAGAGAAACACGGCCAATTGGTTGCATTTTTATTGAGTTTGAAACGTTGTGATATGTTATTACAAAACAATATACTTGCCAAAAAATATTTTTTCCCGCGTGTGTCTAAATATTTTCTGGTTTATCATTGTTTGGAAGATGTCGAAGAAGAAATAAATTTGGAAACTTACCAATAAACATTGAGCAACGTGTGCGAAAAGTTTATCTTGTCAAATCATTGTGTATTTATAGATTTGAGCAATAAATATTCAGAACACTGGGCAATCAATCGATTTTAACAAAATTTAAATTTATAGTCTATTTTTCAATAATATCTACCAAAATAAATAAAATTTAATTACCGATGGTTTTAGTAACTTATATGTATAGTTAAATCATCTTTCAACTTGACCATTTACATGATGAAATAATAATAACTTGAACCAATTCTTGTGTATAATGTATTAAGTATCAATCGTTTTTCATCAAATTTATTTGATCTTGTATTAATTAATTCAACTTTATCAAAAACTCTAATATTTTTATAATTGAATTAAAATAATGGGTTTTAACTGTCGTGGTTATCGCGTAGATTCACACTGATCAAAGAACACCTTATCGAATTCAATCAGCTAGCTATGGCAAATTCCAGTGGATCTGATGATATGTTAAATCGAGTGATGCCAAGAGATAATATTGGTTTAGCTGCTTTATTAAAAACCAACGAAACTGCATGGGAAAATTGTAAGTATGCCATTTAAGGACTTACTGTTAAAATTGTTATGGTTGTATTTAATCTTCTATTAATTTTTTTGGGTATACTAATTAAATCTAAACATTGATCTTGAAATCTAAACTAGGAGTGTTGGTAAGATTATTTACCAAGGTATGAAATTAATAGTATTTTAAACTAATGTCAGACTAATTACGGCGGTAGTTAAAAACAATAAAATTACTTAGCCGTATAATACACTATTTGAAAATACATTGTAAGTGAAAGCCATCATTAAACACCTCGGGTCATCGTTAGCAAGTGAATAAGGCAATAGATCTGTGTATCCTACCTCGTACGTTACACATGGCCTACTGTATTTAGAATTTCAATTCCATCGAGCAGTATTTCGAATTTTTGTTAACTTTTTAATTAGATAATAATTTGTTTCACAAATAATTTTTACTCTACAGGATTCATAACTTATGAGTCACGACCTTGAGAATAAATAATTTTTAGGAATTCAGTTTTCTTAATTTATCAACTTCTCGAAATTTACTAATTAACAAAGACAATAATTTCGTCTAAAATGTATTATTAAAAAAAAAACATTATGCTTTTTAATATATTGCGTTATGTATTTTTAGTAACTGTTATGTTTCACTTTTACTGTAAATTAGTTCTATTTTAAGTTTAAATTTCAAATTAAAATAAATAATTTATAATACGATTATTGTGATCATACGATTAAACTAATCTTATATTCAAAATATTAATGGCAAATCAAGCAAACCCTTTTTTATGACATTAAATTATATACAGAGTAATTCATTTATAGTGAATCTTTTAAATAATCTAAGGAATGAACATAAAAAATAATTTATTATTGATAAATTGAGAAAAACAAGTACTTAAAAGAAACCAAAAAAAAGTTTTCAATATTATTTTTATTTGTCAATTAATTAAGTGGTTCATAAAATGAATCACCTGTATAACTGTGAATTAGTATACTTAACCATGAAACATAAAAACAATAAGTAGTGATAATTATCTTATAATCTTGTAATCAAATGAATGTTCTCAGTATTTAATTAGAAAAGGTAGATTGTAAATAATAAGAGTTATAAATGTTTAAAAAGGTTTAATCTATTAAAAATGAATTATAAAATAAGAAAATATTTATCTAAAAAAGATTTAAAAAGGAAATCAATGATTTAGGACTTCTATGATGAGTGTTTTATGCAACAATATAAAACAAAATGCAGTTGATTTCCCATTTCTCATTTTGCACACCTATTTGTTGCAATCAAAAAACAAATTTTTCTTTGTTCTTAAAATGTAAAAAACACTGAAACTCTGCCATGTTTATGACAAATCTAAATTTTTTTTTTTGCAACAATTTAAATGTGCGACATACAGGTAATACGTTTATCATAACCCATTATCGCAAATCCCACACGGTGCTAAGAGCCTTTAGTCTTCCTAAACATATTGTAAAATTACATTTATGGTTATATAAAAATATTTTAAAAGTTCCATTTTAAGTTAATTTATGAAATTACATGAAGTTGTAGTTCTGTAATTAATAAGTGGATCTCAAGTATTACAAATAATAATATTTATCTCTTTATGTGGCTACACTGTTATTGTTATCATGCATAATATTCAAAATGTTATCGTGTCTTTTTAATTTCTATCTATTATTATACGAATTTTTTGTTGATACGTTGTGTTATGTTGCCCAATGTTAAGTTTTTTTTATATTATACATTGTTTTTCTTATAAATAAATAATTATGAATCAAAATCAGTTTTATCAGGATAATACTTCTTTTTTTGTCCCTGATGAGAAACTAGACTTTCATTCTAGCCCGTATTCTAATTATAATCAGAACTTTGACGATTATTCGCAACCAGCTCAATTCAATACGACATCATCATGGAATCAACAGTCTACTACTAATTTTACTGGCGAAGATGACGAGCCACCGCTTCTTGAAGAACTTGGGATAGATGTCAATAAAATATTTACGCGGTTATTACATTCACTTGATCCTACTGGCAGATGTGGTGTAGTTTTGGGCGACTATGATGTAATTGGTCCTATTGCTTTATATTTAACATACACTTCATTATTACTATTAGCCGGTGGAAAATTAATGTTTAGTTATGTTTATGGTCTCGCAGTGTTAACTTCAGTTTGTATGTATGCATTACTTTGGGCAATGACTGATTCACCTGAAGTAACATTAACTTCCACTTTCTCTGTATTGGGATATTCATTCACACCAGTAGTTCTAGTTGCGCTACTTGCTGTTTTCACAAACCTCAAAAATATTTTTGGTGCTCTTGTGGTTCTTTTAGCTGTTTTATGGAGTAGTACAAATGCTGCCAAAGTCTTTGTAGCTATGTTTGGTAATGCTGATCAAAAGTATTTGATGGCTTACCCTTGTGCGATTATATGTGGTCTTTACACTTTATTTATACTATACTAAATAATTTATAAAATATATAAATGTTAATTAAGCAATGTATTTATAAAAATAAAATTAAATGTTGACACTTTTGTATAATGCTTTAATCATTATTATTTCTTTTCTTTAAAACTTTGTGCTTTGTACTGTGATGTTATATTAGCACAATGTCTTTTTACTAACAAATTTATTTTATATTTTAATATCATCTTAAATAACAGATGTTTGTAAAATAAATATTATTTTAATTTGTATATTATATTATAATTTAAATTAGAATGCCTAATAAAATAATTTATTAAAGAAATTAAAAAGTTTCAAATAAAAAAAAAAACACATCATAGTAAAATTAATACCTTCTCCGCTTCGCATCGAAGCTAATATTGTATTTAATTAAAAAAAAAATATGAGTAATATTGCTAAATCATTCTGTTCAGTAACACATAAATTCATTTTAATATATTAAAAGTGCAATACATAAGTATATTTGGCTGATTGAGGTGTCAACATGTAAGCAGTGTTATAAAAGTTACTGTTATGTCTCTTATAACTCATGAATTATGAATTAAATAAGATTTTAAAAATTAATTAAAATGTGTATTTAATTTGTATAATAGATTATTAATAGCTAATGAGATTAAATCAGTTTATTTGGTAATTTTATATAAGTAATCATTTGAATTGTCCCATACAGCATAATAAAAAACTCATTTCACCCAAATATTAAGAATTAATTATGCTGCACTAAGCTATAGATTTTTTTATAATCTTTATCTCAAAGAATAGCTAAAAAGTATATCTGTCAAATTACAATTGTGAATAGAATTTATTTTTCATAAATAAATAAATTGCTTATTATGATCTGAGTATTGTTATTTACTTGCCTGGAGGTGTGTCAAAAAATCACCTTTTATATAAGTATTGGCTTTCATCAAATAATTGTCAGTTTTATTTTTACTTTTTAATCGATTTTTAACTCATTAAAAAACATGTAGGATTCAATAAATGTGTTATTTATATTAATCCTTAATGAATGTTATCATTCGTCAGCATAGTTTATATGCAATACACATTTTGGTAATTTTTCTGCTGACTGAAAGTATTTTGTCGCTAATACCGAAATTACTCAATTTTTTTGCAATCTTGTTGTCATAATCATACTGTATTTTTTATTAAATAATTTACTCATTATGTTTTAAAACAAAACCTTAGATGATAATAAAATCTATAATAGAATAGAATATCATTTTATATTTATCTGAAACTTTGTTATTTTAATTGATTTGAGTTAGTTATTTTAACATATTCCTATTAATAAGGTTGTTACTATCATAAGATAATTTCAAATTAAAATATATATATGGATTTTACATGGTGTGGTATTGGTATTATTTATTTAGAATGTGTTTTTAAATATTTAATGGATACTCTTGAGTTAATTATTATAAAATCAGTATTTGAAGTATACTCAACAAAAAATATAATATTAAAATGAGGAGAATATTTACAAACTATTAAAAATGCATGTTATTTATTTATATCATGATAAAAAACTTAAATTGAACATAATTTAATTCTAATTTATTTTTCAAATTTAACTACATTATTAGAATTTTATTTATTTTTCTAAACAGTCATTATTTCAACTGTACCAATTAATTGCGCCGTATATTTAACGAAATTATATTTGTAATATTACAGCAAAACTAAGTTATGATAATTATTTATAAAGAAAATTGATGAATTATTGAATATCATAACTTATGTAAACATTTTCATATAGTTAATTTTTAATAATTAATAGTAATAATATGAAGTGTAATAGGATTGATAAGAATATATATAAAACTTTACCAAATATTATTAGGATACCCCTGTAATATTTAGTATCAAATAGTTGATTAAGTGTTAAATTATATTAGTCTTATATATATATTATTAGATTAAAAATTAACAATTTTATTTTATTTTTTTGACAGCATTACCATCAGAAGTTCAACAACCAATA